GCCAATCTACGCTGTATTACGAGCGCACCGGAAGGAGTAAATAACCATAGAAGTGGCCAGCGTAGGCAGCCTATCTTTGTGGTTGGTTCGGAAGATGGGTGAGCCTGTGAGCTGCGTTGTAGGTCCGCTTCATTTCACGCGTCAGACGTTTGTTCAAGAGGTCTGATATGGCATCTTGAAAAAATAGACATGAATAATTTCCTGTGAGCCCCATGAACCTATTCACGTAGAGGTTCTTCCTGAAAGTTGCTCTCGATGAACCGTTCAGGGCAAACGTTTTCTCGGAGAACGTCCTTAATTTTTGTTAGTTCTTCATTTAACACATTTTTAGCGCAGGGCTCGCCCCACTTCTCAACTCTCCCCATCCCGAATGACCCTTCGACCCAACGTGGAAATGTGCCCCCACTAACAACAATCTATTATATGAGCTGCGCAGGCATGAGTGTGAATGATTGGGAAACAACTGTTTTCCTTTGGACTTGTGTTCCTATTTTATGTAGAGATTGAAGTTTGTTATTTGGTTCACCTGCCTTGCAGATTGTCCACATTATGTCGAAGTGAGATTCGTGTTAGGTCAAACGAGTGAACTGCTAACGTTATCCAGTTCACGTATTCTTGTTACACACAGATCATAGCATTCAGTTGCCGAGCCACTGCACTCCACCACTTACCTTGAATACTAAATAAACGGTCTGTGGTATCATTCCAATAATAAATAAATAAATATAAGTAAATAAAAATAAATAAATAAAAATAACGGAATTAAAGTTTTTTTTCTAAATTGGGCTACTGGTCTCGTTCTCATCTCTAGATGTTTTCATCAATTATAAATCCCCAAGTTAATCCTCTTTTGAATTTAGCCTTACCCCGTGTTCAGTAATGTGGATTTTAGAAACGTGATAAATCAATCAAATCATTGAGAGCGGTCAGTGGATGCATTATTTCAATTCAATGATGAATTTCCTGGTTTCCCGTGCGTCAACTGGTAATCTCTGATGCACAGACCGCTGTTTCTGGTTTGCAGAGTTGCGTTAACAGTGGGAATTCATTGACCTCTTAACCAGCTTGCTGAAATGAATAACGATGTATCGAGAACCGGAAAAGTGAAACAATCTGATAAACAGCTCGGTGATAATATGAGAAAAATGCTTGTTTTCTTTCCACTAAGGTCCCAAGTTAGACCCTCAGTTGAGCCGATGGATTGGCAAGATTGATGTGACTCATCCAGGTGGAAACAGCTGCAAAGTGCTTCCTAGCTTTTTATTTCACGTTTATTTTACTCTATATGCGATCAAATGCATCAGTAAACAAAATCATGTATATGGGTCTAACCACTGGAATATGCTGAGAGAGAGAGTTCGCGCGTATTTGGCTAAATAAAACGAAACGTCTTATTTTCGCGGATACGCCTGATTAAAATGCTTATGGAATACCATTGGTTGGAGTTAATCTTTGTGGAGACAACACCCAAATCAACCCTCAAAAGTCACATCAACTGTTGCACACTAATCGCATATCCTCTGCCCGGTGGCCTCTGTCACTGCTCGCAATGTCAGCACCATAAAAAAGTTGCGTTGAGCTCAAACAGTAGTAAGCACTTCCGTACCCATTTCTCCTCCGTTTTATGAGCCCGTTTGGGGACAAATTGGGCAATCATTGAAATAAACAATAATACACTAATTTGAATAATAATATTTTCATCATTACTTTGTTCAAAACAAGCTGAGTGTTATCATTTCGTCCGGCCATTGTGTAATTTGGTGCTGACCGAACCTCACTGCGTCTTGATGGAGCCGGGAGAGAATACGCATTCGGAGCTAAAAACAATAATCAAAACGAAATTCAGATGTCATAAGTAGACAAATATTTCTGACAGTAATATATCAATTCAGTAATCTATATTTCAAGGGCATAACATTTCAGTTTGTGAACACTATGGAGGAAAGGGAAAATTTATCATATTTTTTAATTGTCCCCATATAATTGCTGATGCAATTAGTTGTGTTATTTCATTATTATTTACGATTTTCAGATTTTCGATCGTATTTATTGTTGTCGCCCTCGAGTATTTAAAGTCATATAGTGAAAATACAGCAAATGAAACATTTTACCAACATTTTTGATAGATAGACAGCTTCAATATGCGAAAAAATACTAACGGGCCACTAAATGTCAGTAAGCTGCCGTTAAACGCTACATTGCAATTAAAAAGGTATTACTTTTCGAATTTTCGTTATTCTTAACCTTTGATTATTCACCCCACACCCAAGTTGAGGTAACGCGGTTTCTTTTATTTTTCATTGCTTTCATTTTCTTCTTCCTCTTTACTTCCTTTCATTAAATACACAATGAAACAATTTTTATTATGGGGGAAGTAGCCAATCAAAGGACTACCATATAATGGGGAAAATCAGGTGGTGCCAGTGGGATTTGAACACACATTCCCGGGGTGATGATTTTGTGTCGGTACCTCCGGGCCACCGCCGCCCTTCAGTTTACTTTGATTATCTATTATTAAAAAACAAAATTTTATTAGGTATTTATTCCTAAAATAGCAAATCATAAGTATCAGTGTTTAGTTTTTCGTATAAGTACTTCAAATTTATTTACTGGCTGCAGTATTTGTTCAACAGAATCATGATCGCCTTATGTCGACTTGAACCGTTTTATGTCAACCTTTATTTCTGTTTTCACCTAGACTTTATTAATTCACACTTGAGACTTCACCTTATTGGTTTTTGTCAACCTGATGATAATAATAACGTGACAAACATGATATACACTTACCCATTCAACGACTAACCAAGCAGTGTGTGAATACCTTACACGATGTGTCAAGAGAAACATATTAGCGTTACCAATAAGCGTTCATAAGCGGATTTGAATACTTTGGAGCGTAACGAAATAAGATTTGTCCTGCTGCAAGTTAATCTTAAAACTGAAGATTATGATAAAGTGGATTTCGAAATTGTACTTCGTTCATTAAAAGAAAAATGTGCCAAACACTGCTCAGAACTTTGTCAAATGGTGAGTGCTGCATCAACTAAAAAATGGAAATCATCATTGTAACTTTTCTTTTGGGGTAACTTGTGATGTTCATTGGTAAATTTTTCTTTTCAGATTTCTGAATGGCTCGTGTATCCACGTCTCTTCGGCTTGCCCAACCCAACCTCATGAAAATAGACTATAGACTGTCTTATTAAAAAAATGTCAAAACTGTACGGAGAATCACACGAAAACTTCCTTATTCAAATTATCTACCGTTTTCCATTTGTACTGTTTCATCTTCTTTCCACTTTGTTCCGTATCCCAATCCACCTACCCCATGTTAATGTTATTCCTTTTATTGTTGTGGCGTTGGTATCATGCTTTTGTGCAAGCCGATGTTAAATGTTTACATCTATATGTCCTAATTTGCTGATAAAAATACTTAAAAATATAATCTAAAGGTGATTTTAACTTGCAATGACTCACCCGGTGTATCGTCCATTCGCCTTCCGGACAAACGTACACCTATCGGGTACGCTGGGACACCAGGATAGACCAACTTTTTACCGGTTTCTACATTGTAATCGGCTGGTCCTGGACCTTGTCCAAAATTAAGTGATTTTTGGATTCCAGTAATAGTGTATTTCGGCGTTGATGCTTCCCCTGTATTTGTGTATTTACTGTTCTGTGCATAAGCAGCTGGCCCCGGACTACGTTCCGATGTAATATCCTTCAGCATCCTCCCAAGACTATATGCCGGGGCCTTCGTGTGTGTGCTACGGAGATCATGATTCTTCTCTCCAATTAAAGGCGGCAGCATGTATATAGGGCCTGGGCTAGTATACATTGCCCCGATCGGTCCTCGCGGTTTTGTATATTGATATCCCAGTTCTGTCATTCTTATAGTTACCGCAAGGAGAGTATAAATATTCCACACAAGCGAGGAGTTTTTACAACTCCAGCTTCCTTTCGAAAGTCTGAAATTGATCAGCTGTGCAATCAATCGATTGGGTTCAGTGCGATCGATAATGTAGCTGGTAAACTGCGCTACTTCATGTGACCTTCAGGCGTCCTTGAGGTGCTTGTAAGAATGCTGTCGGAGACCGAAAGTTTGCCCGAAACGTTTAAAAAGCTTTTGAAACAGTATGAAATAATTACAAAGTACACTGGCTCACGGAAGAGCGAGGATTTTATGGTGATTCCTTGTTGGTGTGTCTGAACGAATAAATACAGTCCAAAGTTGAAATAGGTTGTAATTTGTGTAAATTGGCTTCCACGTCAGTGAATGAGTTGCACTTATTCAGTAAGAATGAGCAACTCGATGATTTGACCACAAATGAAATCAGGTAAATGCACTGAATTCATTTATTTGTAGGTACATTATATTGCCCGCGCTTTACGGCTTTTTCATGAGCCAAAAGATGGAAAACAGATTGACCGTTGTGCGTCTCACAATCGTATGTACCAAATAAATCTGCATCTATATGAAGTCTTTGTATAATGAATTCCGTAGACTCTGTGAAACTTTCTCGATAAAAGGGATGGATACTCAGAGGTAAGATTTTCCTTTCTCAGAAGCTGTATTTTGTTTCTTTTTGTACTCTGTGAATTTTCGATTTTGCTATGCTCGATGTGCTTTTCGTATTCCTCTTACGTTCTACGGTGATTGCGACAGAAGAGATTAAAAGAGTTAATAGAACAGTAGTGATCAGCTGGTGGCTCTAATCTTTGGCTGGTAAGCTGTAGAGGTCAATGTGATAGATATATTAATCAAATCAGATCACAAAAGTTGCCATTAGTGTCAATTTGAGCCTCGATTCTTGCACTGAGAGAGCTTTTATCCCACTGGTGCTTCAGTAACCGAGTTCTTTACCAGCCGTTATTTGGCTCCCTAATCGGTCGCCTGGAGTTTTCCTCCCGGTTCGCTTATAACTATTCCTCGATCCACAACAGTCATTGCGGAAAGTTTCGGTTTTGACAACCCTCAGCCATTCACTTCCGTGCGCCAGTTAGGTTGTTGTCAGAATGAAAGTTACAATGTAGGGAGCAGAATCAAATAGGAGATGGAAAATTCGTATAGATGGTTTTTTCAGTTCTCTCAGGACGATTTGAGGCTCATATCAATCAAGCGTTCATATTTGTGTATTTTCAGTGAATTTCTTCGACTTAAAACACCTCGATATGTAATTTTTCTGAAAGGCAGAGCTGTGGTGAGTTATCGTATCTTTTGAGGGTAGGTTATAGATGATAACTAAGCGCACTCGTCCAGTGCCTTTTTAAAAGTATTTACAGTACTGCAGCTTACCACTGCCTACGGCAGTTAGTTCCATAACGGAATCATCTTGTTGGTGAGAAAAGGGTGCCCTCAGTTACATCCTAAAATAGTTTCTATGCCGCCGTACGTTGTCACCGCGTAACCCTATGCGGAACCAGAGAGAACAGGTCGCCAGACCTCAGGCTTGATATACCCTTTACCATTTTAAACGTCTTTTTCTGGTCTCCTTTTATCCACCGCTGGAGGGAGAACTGATTCCGATCCCTGAGTCGCCGTTCATAACTTTTCTGTCGTTGCCCAGCTATCATCTTTGTGGCTAGACATTAAGCTCTCTCCACTTTGTCACTGTCCTTTCGATAAAACAGAGCTCAAGCCTGTACAGTATTCCAGATGCGGGCGAACGATACATTTGTATAGTGGGATGAATACCTCGGGTTTGCTGCACGCCTTTGTTGCGCATAGCCAAAACAGATATCCCCAGGATTCGTGTTCTACCTTCATACACAAAGCGTTACCGCTTTGGTTAGATCCTTCACTTCGCACACCCTCTGTATCGACAGACACTTCTTATCTGTCCGTCAGTAGCTGTCATTTCGAAACATTCAGTGGTAGGTCCCACTTTTCGGCCCATATTTAGACTACCTCTATTTCACTTACTAGATCCGATCCAGCTATCTGCGAACGAAAAACATGGAGTTTGGAGACCCCGTACTAGATTGTTGATGGAGAGCAGGAACAGCAGTGGTCCAAGTACCTTCTGGTCACCTCAAAGATGTAATCTACTTTGACGTTACGTCCTTATTCGTCCAACTATCCCCAGAACCTGCATGTTATGTTCTAACAGATGGTGACTGATTGATTTGAATGCTTTCTGGAAGTCCAGATAGCATAAATCCACAAGTGAGTAGATCCTCATCTAGACGATAAGCAGCCTCGTCTAGAAACGCCTGCAGGTTCATCAGACAACCTCTTTTCGAAAAATCTCTGTTGAGCTGGGACCAATAGCCCGCTATTCACCATGTGATGGTTTTTCTGTCTATCTACCCGCTCCAAATACTGATATTTCTGATTTCAAGCGTACTGATCTGTAATTCTCGGCTTTTTTTACCGGGATCCGGACTTGTGTATCGCCACTGCTCTAGATTCGCACCAGTCTTCCGGGAACGCTCCTAACCTAAGGCTAATTAGTAGATGCACGAGCGCCACTGTTTACGACAGCCACCACTCAGGATTTCTAACCACCGGTTACCCTACTGAAAGAGTGCTTGCGGAACACAGGCTAACCCTCAGTATAAGTATGAACTTGGCTAGGTGGCTAGTGAGTTAAGCTAATTAGGGGCGCTA